CTTAAATATGATTAAAGGTGAAGTTTTAGACATTTCTCATTTGCTGTATATTGCTGTATATGCCCAATAACATTACGTCATAAAAAATTGCTGTACTCATTTGATAAATGATAGACGTTTTCATTTGATTGACAATTACTCCATACATACAATTAACTAAAAGGGACTGGAATGAAAAATAAAGCTTTGAAATGTGCAGAATAAATCCTAGAAGTATGATATGACTTTCACAGCAAAGGCAGTTTTTCTGTGGTTGATTGTCAGACAAAAACACATTCAGAAAAGTTCTGATCTTCCTTCCCTTCATCTGCTTGGAGATTGGACAAGACCGCCAAGATGGAATCCTTCGTAATACTATTGCGTGATCATTTTTGTACGGGCAATTCTATTTTTTTAATATTCCAACATGTAATCAAAAGACGTGGTGACGACACAATCAATTTTTTTCAATTTATATTAATGCCGCCACCAACACAGGAGACAATACAATACTCATTTTCACCTGAGCGAAGGGAGAAAAGTCGTGTAAAGTGCCTTTCCCAAGGGCACAAGATCGGTGGCATGTCAGGACTCGAACCCGGGACCTCTTGATTCAGAGTCGAGCACGCCACACGACCCCACGTCAATTTTGTATCGGCACTTCTATTCCTTTGCAAAGGTTTAGCTATAGTACTCAAGAGTATATCAAGAACAAAGTTAGTTACTACGTACTTACGGCCCAAAACGGACTTTGCTGGTCTTCCTGGGACGAATTTTAAGCAGAGTTTTCCTTCTCCAAAAAGCAACAGCCATTCCCACCTCGTGCGGTTCTGCACTGCATCATGGGAACATGGGAACACCTGTGTGCTAACGTTGCATCATGGGAACCACCTGTTGTTCATTAGTCAAGAAAAATAATTAATGCGGTTAAAGTTAAGAAGACTAAGTTATAACGCATGCACGTCTCACCATGTTTCTGTACCTGAAAAGCCGGTATAACCGTCCTTTGGCGTAACACCACTAGCAATATAGGATGACTACGAAATTCCTACAGTTTTAAGAAAATTAACCTCAATTATCAAAAGCGAAGCTACTACCTACTGAATTCGGCCACTGAAGAAACCCAATGAAGAATTTTGCAACTAATGTTACAATCTATTTCTTGACTGATCATTTTTCTTCGCGTAGATCACGGAGGCATAAGGCCTGTTTTAGCCTTAACTGATGACGCTCTTCGAAAGCTATAGCTAGACTTTTAAAGGCAGACTATAGCCAGCGTATATATTTTGTTATGCAAAAAAATGCCACGTTTAATATAAATAGAAGTGTACTCAGATGAGTTACAGAGTTGCATTAGCTAATGATGTCGCTCAAAAAAAGTTTGGGAGCGGAACGTACGTATAACACCAGATGCCCATGACGTAATAACTAGAGGCAGTACACCAACGGAACCTATAACCCCAGGGCATGTTGGGTAACGGTTACGCGTTTAAAATGTTCAAAACGATCGTTTGTAACCACCACGTGGGCGTGATGAAGGGAGCTTTTAAGTTCCTGAAGCCCGGCTAGGTTTCTTCCGCGTTGGTGGAACTTCCGAGAGGATGTCGAAAGTTGGATCAGGATAGAAACGGATTTTATTTCAATGACGATATTATGCATGGCAGAACGTTAAACTATCCTGCTAAAAAGACAAGTATAACTTTGATATTGCAGTTTGGTCGTGTGGCATTTTCGTCTCCTTTTTTGAGGGAGGCAGCCTGCTCCCTTGTACGTATAACGTCCGATTAAAGAGCATATCTTCTTGCAAACTGAGAGACATATAGCTAAAGCGAAAATGAAATATGCGAGTTCTTTACGAGGAAAAGTAAAGATAGAGAGATATGAATATGATATAGCTGAATGTAAACTACAGTTGTTATCACATCAACTAGAAACCTCTATCACCAACAGCGTTGACCACGCTATTTGAATGTTAAAACTGTATATTTTCTAAAGCATGTATCGGAAAACCGGTATTTCAGCACTAAGGACAGTGCCATCATAATGCGTATATACAATATACAACTAGCAATGTCTATCACCGACAGTGTTGACCACACTATTTGGATATTAAAACTGTACATCACCTACAGCATGCATCGGAAAACCGGTATTTCAGCACCAAGGACAGTACCACAGTACTACTGAAATGCACGCTCAATTGGGATATGGTGTGCACGATGAAATATTTGAATGTAACGGAGGGGTCACTTTCGTTGTATGATTTTGATCCATTAGAATTTGATGCAAGCATGCTGTCATCGAAGTACCCACTAACAAGTTGACAAGCTTTCAAGCAACAATATAGACGAATTTCGTAGGACAAATTCACAACGATCGTACAGCGGGGTCCTTAGGGCACGGTCCCATTCGTAGCATGACAGCAGAGTGTTCTTAGTTTCCTTCCCTGGAAGTTAAACGTTTTTCCCACCATAAACGCCTCTCTTAACACGCACGAAGTGACGCAAAGAACGTTCTTGCACGTACGTAATCTTAAGTGTTCGGAAACACTAAAGACAAACTTGTATTGCCCCAGAACCTGAAATACCAAGGCTGCTATTTTCTTTTTGTCGTTTGAACGATGGTCACAACTTAGAACCTATAAATCTGTGTCAATGGGAGACAGTGCATGACGCAAAAGCCCCGACACAAGATAGTTGTGACTAGAACTTTGTCTACATCTTTGGTAAAAATCTGGACAAAGTTTTCAGCAACAAGACAGCAGATTGTTCTTAGTTTCCTTCCCTGAAAGCTAAACGTTTTTACCACCATAAACGCCTCTCTTAACACGCATGAAATGACGCAAAGTGAAACAAAACTTACGTGCAAATACGTAATCCTAAGTGTTAGAAAAACACTAAAGACAAACTTGTCTAGCCCCAGACCCTGGATTATATCATTGCCAAGGTCACTGACCTTTTTTTTGGCCTTTTGAACGATGATCATCACTTTTTACTTGTAAAAAATGTGTCAATGAGAGACTGTGTGACGCAAAAGCCCAGACACAAGATGGTTTTGACTAGAACTCTGTCTACATCTTTGGTAAAATCTAGTTAAGGAAATGATAATAGTTGTTGGCCTCAAGGCTCAATGAGTTTGGACCAAGTATAGACGAAAGAGGGTGGGGTGTAGGCGCGCTAACGTCCATGTGAACAGTATATAAACAACCCCGCCATGCTCCCATCTTTGTGAATCCGTACAAGCCTCTACCTTCCTCGTGAACAGTGACTTTGCAAGACGAGAAAAAGGTAAGAACATGCCTTCGTTACGTCTTGTGAAAACTTCTATGTAGCGTTAACCATTCAAACTTTCTGAGGTTCGAAATTATGCATGTCTTCTTTGGTCCAAACATGGAGCCTCTATACCTCTACTATACCTCTACTAAAGGTAAGAACATGCCTAAATTACGTCTTGAGAAAACATGTGTGCAGCGTTAACCATTCAAACTTTATGAGGTTCGAAATTATGTCTTTTTTTGGGTCCAAACATGGAGCCAATATATACCTCTTAAAACTCATTGGTTTAAGAATCTGTTTCGACCCTTTTCTCTGAAAAACATACTAGTACTAAGTAACAGGCTCCAATGCGTGACATATCAGTGTGTATAATTGGAAAGTGAGCTTTAGAAATGAGAAAGTTTCATTTTATGTCAACCTTTCAGTAGGTCACACTTATTTTAGCCCCAATAATGTGATATTTCCTGGTAAACCGTAAAAAGAAGTACGTTTAGTCTATTTTTTTTAGAAACTGTACTCCAACCATATTTATTTGAAGAAAACTAAAGGATCTATTTTTGAACAACTTTACATTACCCCTGTGCAATGTAGGGGATATCCTATCCATAATTATACGGATAACTGAAGCTTTGTTGAAATAGTTGTAACTGCATCCACGCAAAAGAAGCAGCTTGACCTAGTTTCTGGGATGTTAATTCACACCTTGTTTATTTTTGGAAACAAAAGTGTATGGCTGTATCAGTCGTTTGGTCAATGACCTCGGTCAGTAACCTGTATGTCGTCATCTATGAAGAGAAAAGAGACATTGGAACGGTTGTTCAACTTCAAAAACAATTTTCCAATATGGCGTAATCTTTGGTTGAACTCTCTATCTCTCAGACATGCTTTACATGGGTTCTAGTGATGAGTGGCGTCGGTGGCGCGCAACGGTTAGAGCGTTGGACTCGGAACCAATAGGTCCCGGGTTCGATACTCACCGTGGACCGACGTTGTACCCTTGGGAAAGGCACTTTACACGACTTCCCCACCATGTACGAAGGAGTGACGCCCACCTCTTAGGCTAATCAGTCTGTGTGTCAAAAACACACTACGGATTTGGTGGGCCAATGTGCCAACATCAGCACATTTGCCACCGAGAGCTGTTAAAAAAGTCTTGGTGAAAACTTGTCTTACGTGCCGATAAGTTTGTGCAAATTTACCACATGACAAGATCAGTTTCTCTAGAATGATCTCCGGATCCAATTATTTCGTTGGGTTTCCTTGAGGAAGAAAGAGATTCGGTTCTTCCGAAAAGACTCCAGTTTCCAGGATGCTGAGAGGTGAGACAACGTCGTTTCCTGTCTTCGGATGGAAATCAACGTCGTTTCTGCTATTTTCAGAAAGGACACACCTTTCCAAAGTAACCAATCCAGGTGTATAATATCTAAGGTGGATACAAAACACCTATATTTAGTGTTAATCAGAGGTGCGTCCAAATTGGAGGGGCTAGTTTTTGTCCTTTTATGGTATTTCCTGTTCTTCGCGGAAGGAAAGAAAGCTACTGGTGCGCAATAGGTTCTGTTCTTCCTATCCTTCATTAATTTGATGAAGGAAGGTAGGAAAAAACGTCATTTCCTATTTTCCTTCCTCCAAATGATGAAATTAAAAGTTACAACACATACGTCACTTCCGCTCCTGTAGCTTAAAATATCGCTTTTTGTGCGCTTAAATTCTAACGCTTTTCGTTTTGCTCTAACTGTTCTCAACTCAGCTTCTTCTTCTTGCGATCGACGAAGCCGCTCCTCCGAACCAAACGAAAATGATGCTCAAAACGGCTGGCCTGAGGAAAAACAGCGCTCTACAAGCCACGGTGGCTGTGCTGGTGGTTCTAGGCACGTCTTTGACGGTGGATGGCGGTCTGATCATCGGCAGAATTCGGCGGCACATCACGAGCGCACACGACCACCGAGCCGACAGAATTCTATACTGTTCATACGACTCCGCCATAGAGACTCAAACTCAACTCGCCACGCAAAGACTTGAAGGATACGCGGTAAGCTCCTTTAGAATTTGTTTAAACTCAGATTTCATTGCAATATTTACATTTGGCACTTTAAAGAAATGATCCAGTACGATTTCTACTTCATGTTCTAATCATACAAGCGCTGACTCAGTTCAAATTTCGTCGCAACATTTTTATCTAAATGTGTCACTTTAAAAATGATCCAGAACAATTTTACTCCATTTTGTAGTCATTTGGACGCTGCTTTAACTTTGAATTCGTTGCAAGCTTAAGCTTTATATTTGGCACTTTTACTAAAACGATTGATCCAGTACAATTTAGACATTTTCTACCCATATAGACGTTGATTTTGCTTAGAATTCGTTGCAATATTTATATTTGGCGCTTTTTTATTCCAGCAACTGAGATTTCCCTATGAAGTGATTGACTGGGATCTGTTCGATGTGGAAGTCGCCGCAATCAGAAACGAGTTGGGAGACCCTACACTAACGGTGAGACGTCAACTTGTGATTTCCTCTGTACATGTGGCGTGTTGAGAGCGCATAGGCGAGTTTCAAGAATTCATTTTCGTTTGAAATGTGTAGCAATTTGACAGCATTTTTTGTTCGCTCTAACTCCTGGCAATGTTTTTGATAGTTTAAGATACGTTTTTTTAACGATGATATCAACCAAGAATCGGGGTTTTCAAAAGCTCGTGTCTCCCAGGAACTATTATAGAGTGGAAGTCGTTGCCACCAAGCACAATTGGGGCATCATCACTAGAAAGCTTTAAACAACTCCTGCATATTAGTCCAAAGATTGGGTGTAACAGATCGTTCCGTGTATTATACTAGTAGCTAGCTGCAGCCACGCCGCGTGCCTGCGAAGCTGGTGTGTTACGCCGAAGGGTTGTTTATACCGGCTATACCGATACAGAGGATCGCCAATAAATGACTTAATGAATAACGTGTTGGGTTTGCTCTCTCTCCTCTCTAGCCGCTAGAACGTATCAGCCTGCTGTACACCGTGGCAGACGGCGTCCTGACGGAGAAACTGAACGAGGATCCCGCCCTTCTCCCGACCGACGTGGCGCGGAACAGAACCCGCATGCTCGCCGCCATGGACGAGCTTCTCACCACCATGAACGACACGGTATGAGCTCTTCTTCTTTCTAAAAATTGTGTGGTGTAACGGTGTTTGGCTCCGACCCAAGGGGTCCCGGGTTCGAATCCTGCCCGATGCCAAAGATCTTGTGCCCTTGGGAAAGGCACTTTACACGACTTTCCTCACTTCACTCAGGTAGAAATGAGTACCTAGCTTCGGTTAGGGACGTTCCTCGGAAAGGACGTTAAATGGAAAAGCAGTTACGTTAGCTATAGATTTGTAATATCTCATCCCTATATATCCTATTGATAATGCTCCTACTGTACTTGGTGACAGTGAGTTCCACTCTGCGATAGTTCTAGGAAAGAATGAATTCTTGAACACCTCAATCCTTGGTTGATAACTCAAGTAAAAGAGTTATCAACCAAGGATTGAGCTTTAAACAATGTCTAGAGTTAGAAGTTCAAGGGTTAGGTGTAACAAGTCGATCGGTGTAATATAGCCAGCTGCCGCCGCGCCGCGTGCCTGCGAAGCTGGTGTGTTACGCCGAAAGGCGGTTATACCGGCTATACATATACATATACAGATACATATCTTTGCCTTGATGCTCACCCGTACGCACGAAATTTACAGTATACGTAAAGGTTATTCTTTCCTGTAGTTAAGATTTACGCATACTTTAATCTGTACTTAAAGCTTGGGAGTGTTACTGATATTTCCTTGCTGGTCCTTTGACAGATTCGGCTGTACAGAAGCCGTGCAGAGGAGAACTGTCACTGTTCTGACGTCATCTCTGGAATCCTGGACCACCTCAAACAAGTCAGGTTAGAGGTGAGGAGACGATATTTTCTCTCTCTTAAAACTTAAGGTTATGCTCTGTATGTTCTATTCAAGAAAAAGCTAATCGTGAATCTAGCTAGAGTTGTTTAATATGCTGTTTCCTCTTGTTCTTCTCCAAACAAATAAGGTCAATGACCTGAACCAGACGTCTGTCACCATGGTAACTAGTGTTCTACAGAGAAGCCTTTCTGCTGTAAATAAAGTATTTTTTTAAACGAGACTATTTTTTTTCAAAATCAAACCTTTTTTTACCAATTCAGGAAAACTGGTCTTTTGAAGATATGGAATCTGTAATAGTTTTAGTAAGGCTCAAAATCTGTGTGTTTTGCATTTTTCTGTTGCTTATGCACACTTCATGACTTGATGATCTAAAAATAAAAATGGTCGCGAAAAGATGTTAATTTTTTTTTACTTTTCTCTTCAGACTTCTCCAGTAGGTCTGACAGCAGAGGGGAAGATCCTTAAGTACATCCGGGTCTTGTACCAGGTCATCCGATTGGTCAACATGGAGCGACGACGTCACATGGACCCGCACTGCAGATCTCTATAAAACCCCTACAACAGCCTTTAGTCAATACTGAAAACCCCTTTAAATAGCCTTAACGCTTAGTGATAGGATGCTACACTGACTTGTAAATTAATTACCCCTCCCCATCTGAGAATATGTGCAACTCTAGATCTTTAGTGATGATACTGGGACACTTAACGAATGTATTGACAGTAGATTTATCTGTGTTGGAAGTTTGAAATGGTCAAATTTAAGCAAATGATGTTCACTCACCATATTTCCAGCACATTTTGGTCCTCCGGACCTTGCTTGTATACGTAGCTGCCTCTATCTACTTGAGAATCCAGGCATAACAATAATTTACCATATGTATATATGACGTCGTATTATGCACCATATAAGTTCTGTATTTTGCTGTATTTTGAATGTTAAATTCCAAACTTTGATCTCCAAACATTCTTCCCAAGGAGAGAAGTTGCCACCTGCCATACATAGAGACTTCATTTTGAATCCTATCTATTGCCATACATAGAGACTCCATATCAGATATTGGAAAATCTGTCATCTCCTGCGGATACCAATTTACACGTCCTTGTGAGAAACGTATAGCGTTTCAATTCGTTTTCCGGTATAACTGTGACACCTATCTATATACACAGCAGAAAAATATGTAAGTATATATGGCTCTACAGATCCATTGCGTATTATTTCCGGAGGTATACAGCCGTAAGAGGAAGTTGGCATTTCTGAGCTGAAATACTGTGTTACTTCTCATATGTTAAGATGAGTAAAATATGCATCAATGATAGCATGTTGGGAAATCCATCCTAATTACTTTAGTATATTATCAGCGTCTTGTAGCCATTGTTTTATCAGATTTGCTGATGGTAGAAATTGAATTTGTGAAGAAAGCAAACCTTAAAGTCAATTATGATGCGTCAAGCAAGAGTTATTAATAGTATAATAGCTGTAAAATTGTGAATAGGTTTGAAGACTTTGTCTTGTAGCTTTGTGTCATCTAAAACATTCAAATCATGTTTTCCAAACGAAAATTGCAAGAATTTGGTTGTGTAAGTCTACCAATAGTAGATTCCACTCTTTGATGGCATTACGGTATGGAATAAATGCTTCTGTGAAGAATTGCTTGTTAGCTAGTAAGTCTAGACCAAATGAATTTGAAACTCAAAATAAAGTTGCAATGAATTGAGAAGTCACAATGAGCCTTATTTGTTTGCATGTAAGAACTTCTTGAATTGCCACGTGTAATTTCTAATCCATATTGGAAATATGTCTACACAATTTTTGAAGAAAAAAAGAAAGAAATTATAAATTTCAGACATCCATAAAGTGTTTGCAATGCTAATTATAACCTTATTTTTTAACCATAACAATGAATCAAAGTAAAACAACAAAATCTACCAAAGCTCTTAGATATTTCATGGAGGTATGAACACTTGTTCTAATATATATCATAAAGTGCAAATGGCTGGACAGTTGCAATCTACCTAAGATCCCTTACCTGGATAAAAGTATTCTGCAGGCGCTAGGCAGATACTGGGAGGCTAAATCGTAACGCTTTCCTCAGCTGGCCGTTTCCGTTACAAACCTCCTCCTCTGGCCCCAGACACCAGATAAACACACTGTTCTTGATACAAAATCCTAACCCAGACGGTTTGTGACATAAAAGGGCAGCTACGAGCATGACGAAACGCCATGTTTCTGTTGTGTAGCCTCCCAACATCTGCTTGGAGATTAGATAGACCCAATGTTAAACATGGCGGGAATATAGCCTGGTGTTAGTCAGCAAAAACAAGTCGTTTTTGAGCAGAGGAGCAAACTCCAAGTTATTATTCAACAAGATAGCAGTAATGAGTATATATCAGACATGAATTCTGTCAATATAAGATGTGAACACAGGGGCAGTATGGTTAATAGGCTGCGTTAGTATATTATCGCCTGGATGCTGTTTGGAAATAGGTACAAAACATTTAAAAAATGGTTATATTTACAAAAACACTGCTTTCTAATGTATGAAATGAGTCTTTCTTTGTATCTATACATTTATTTTCTGAACAAAAGTAAACCTAAGAAGTAGATGAATGAAAATCAGTTAAATAATAAGATATTTTTCTAGCCTCAAAAAACACGAAAATTTCAAAACTTTGCCGCTTATTATTTTACTTAAAACCTAAAGAAAATAAAACAATTGGTTTTCGGCGTGTAAGCACTTTAATAAAGTCACAATATCAATTTTTGTGAAAAAAGTTGAAACCCCCTTACGAGTCTCCGAGGTTTGGCCATTCCCAAATCGCCGGAATCCGCGAGTGGGCTAAATCTCGTAACTGTTACAGGTGGTCCCGATTTCACACTTCCGGGTTTGACGGCCGAAATTAGGCTCTCTTTGGGGTTTACCATTTATACTCGATTGGAGCACAAATGTTTATTTTTCTAGAAACTGATAAACATTTTCAATACGTTTTTGACAGTTTTGTCGTATGTTTTATATTATCTACAAATACCACCGACACTTAAAGCCATACGTTGAAGTTTTTGTCATATTTTTTGGTGAGTCCACGGTCTCCGAGTTTGCAGAACGCACAATTTTCTGAGTGACCGTGGTGAAGCCGCCGCCATAACAGGAATCGGCTAGCCGGCTATAGCGCTCATATTATCGCGAAAAACGACAAAAACCGAGCCGGGATTGTCTAATTTCTATCAAAAATAACTAAATCTCATGACATAAACTTTCCATCACTGCATTTCAGGGGGAAAGCATGGTAGCTTGGGCGATAAACTGAGTGTTTTCGTCGGGCTGGAGCGTAGATGAGCCCGGCGGTTGAGTCGGCGCCGGCCTGCGGCGTTCGGCGCCTAGCTTACTTTTATTTCGCAA